TTTTCCGAATGGAGCTGCCTGGCTGCTTGCGGTTCTGTCATTTAAGCGCAGAACAAGTTGGCTTGGCCGATATTGTTAACTATCTTGGGCTTTGCACCTGATATTCTCCGGGTGATTGAAAAATGGGCCACATGCCCTTGCGATTTGCAGCCATTCTCCACTCTGCCAGGCAGCGGCAACCTCCGAAGCCTGAAGACAGGACAGGATGCGATGTGTGCACATGAGCAGGCCGAGGGCCGGCCCCCGGCCTCACACGCGTCACTGTCCCTTATTTCTTTCACCCATCCTTCCATCCACTGTTTCAAAATGTGCTCACTGATGCCTACAGTATGCAGGACCCACGCCTGGGGCTGGGAAGGCAGAGAGACAGAGAACATGTGGACCGTGTGGGAACCAGAACAAAGAGACAAGGGAGTGTGATGCAAGGGACCTGGGTTTGGGAGTCAGGCTGACCTGAGTCCGCCTCCTGGCTCTGCGACTTACCAGGATGTCACCAGCAACCTGAGCCTCTATCTCTCGTCTGTAAGATGGACAGTGAGGGGCAGTCGTGGGGAATCCCTGAGACCACGGATGAAGCGACTGAGAGATAACTGAGCTCCGACCTTGGGGGAGGCCGCTGAGCAAGTAGGACACATGGCGGTAGCTGGACACCCTCGGCGCCTCGACCCGCGGGAGAGCCCTGTGAAATCATTCCCCTGGCCCTGAAGACAGACACCGCCAGGAGCCGACACGGGTGCTCCCGCCCTGGGACAGGCACACGGCCCCCCGCAGAAGGCGTGGGCGGAAGAGCAGCCCAGCTCCTGGCACGTGGCCGGGCCTCGGCGAGGCGGCCGCCTTCTCCTTCCCTTCTGGGCAGGGGGAAGAGAACGAAGCTTGAGACTCCCCAGCCAGCTGCTTTTGGGCTTCCCCACCGCCCCCCGTAAGAAAGAAAGAAAAAAGGGCCAAGGAGCTAATCTCAAGTGAGCTCGGGGCCGTGGGACAGGAGTTGCCCGTCTCCACCCCCTGGGAGGGGGGCTCGCCCTCTCCTCACAGAGGCAGGTGGGCGCCGCAGGCTCAGCAGGAGCTGGTCCCCAAGCTGTCCCACGGGCAGAGTGGAAAGGACCACCGCCAGTGCTGTCGCGTTTCATGTTTTAGAACACCAGAACTCTGTGACTTCGTGGTGACGTGAGTCTCATGACGGTTCTCACTGGCCCAGGGTGGGAAGCCACTGCACCACGCCGGTGTGGCACCCCACAAAGCAGTGAGAGCGGATGAGCAGAGGGGCTCTTGTACCCCTGTGGACACACTGCTCCTGGCCCTTCACCCGCAGGCTCTCTTCGCCCTCCACCTTGCACTGTTCGCCCCACGCCCGGCAATTTGCCTCAGAGACGCTCCCCTCTGGGCCACCACCTGCTTCTGACACCATCTTTCCCCCTCACCTTACATATCAAAGGACCTTTTATGTACTCGGATCCTTTGACCCAGTCAACCCACGCCAGGGATTCTGCCTAAGGAAATAAGTCAGCCCATGCACAAGGGTTTATGGAGAGATGTTCATCACAGCGTGGTTTACAATGGTGAGAGAGACGCTGACAGATGAGAAGGACCTGCATTGGGGTGATGAGGAAGCCTCGGCACTGGTTCCCGATTTCGGGAACTTGATAAACATCTCTGTGAGTGGGGCCCAGGCTGCCTTCCTAAGAGCCCCATGGGTGACGCTGATCCTTAGCCAAGGTGAGAACCATCGGGATCACCTGATGGAATATGTGGAGCCGTCATAAGTGATGTTTAAGATGAGTTTTTGCAGGGTGTGAATAAGTGCTTCCAACATACTAATAAAACACAAAACCAAAGAACTGGGAACTGGATTGCTTTGCCAGTAATATCTCAACTGTCTAAAAGTAAAAAACCAAAAGACGGAAACAAAAACCAACCCCAAAATAACCCTAGAACCTAGGTAGAAACACGCGAGCATGTTAACTCTAGATGATAGGATTATGGTGCCTTCTCATTCCTCATCCTCTGTTACTTCAAACATCTTTTTACCAAGAGCAGGTGCTCTTTTTACAACCAGAGAAACAGCAAAAAGACAGGCCCAAGGAGGCCAGCCTGCTCCCTCGGCACTGTGCTGCCTGCCACCCCGGGGGCTCTCCAAGGCACCGCACCCCTGTGGCCAGTGCCCCCGACCCTTCACCCCTTCTTGGGTTCACATGTGCTTTGCAGTCCTTATTTTAATTAATCCCTGAATGATCTTGCATGGGAAATGTGGTTATCCCATTATTCAGATTAGGAGAATTGGCTAAAATTAAATCTATGGTTTAAAAACCATCCGAGTTACATAGTGATGACGCTCGGTCAGAAAATTTCAGGCCCTCCGACTTCCCTCTTGGCCTTATAGGAAAAAAAAAAAACCCACCCCAAAACATTCTGGTACAGATAAATAGGACTGAAAGCATGGCAAATCTGCTGTATTTCAGTGATTCTAAGATGCAAATTTCTTCACATCGTAACACCTCTAAAACCTGGATGTCGCGCAGTGGATGGCATCCTTCAGTTATAATCGGAAGCCCTCCTTTCCCTCCCTTAACAGTACATAAAGTAATGGTACCTCCTAAGATTGACGCAATGAAATGTGCCATGTTGACGACCAAACCCATCATCCTAGTCTCAAAATACTACTTTTAATAGCTACATAGTATTCGTCACAGGCACGTACTTTACTTAACCGGTCGCCTATTACGGACATTTAGCCTGTTCCACGGTTTTACCATTATATGCGTTGCTACTGGCGACGCCTTTGCAGTAAGCTTTCCCTTTTTCTACTATGGACATCACCATTCTCTCCCAGGTCCGTGCCTCAGGAGACATTTTGACATTTCTTGCCCCTTATCTCCATATTTTATCTATAACTATCCTCATCTGGTCATTTCTTCTTCATGGCGCGTTCTCCTGGGGTAACCACTGGAGGGCTCTCTTCTGAGCTCCCCTAACAGCTCACAGGTTCCTTCCGTCCATCACTGTATTACTGTTCAGACATGACTTCGGTCACACGGCATCTCTGCTCAAAAAATTATACTCCTTGCAAGGACGTTCATACTCCTAGCCTAGCATCCAAGGCTCTGTCAGATTTGGCTATGGTCTCTACTCCAGCCCCATCTTCCCACCTAAATCCATGATTCCAGACAAAGTGGCCACGAGGGGTCCTGCCTCCAAGCCTTTGCTCACTCGGTTAACTCCACACCGACCCCAGGAGGAGATTCTGTCTTCCTTTTTCCAAACCTTACCCATTAGGCTCAGGCCAAGTTTCATTTTTCCTGTGAAATGTTTTATGGCTCATTTGATCCTTATAACCATCTGGAGATGTAGGATGACAGGTATTCCTATCACTTCACAGGTGAAGAAACTGAACTTTAAAGAGATTAAGTGGCTTGCTCAAGGTCATACAGCTTATAAGTACAAAGATGGGCTTTAAACTCCAGGGCTTCCTCCTTAAATCCAGGTGCAACTACAACCATAAACTTTTCTGAAGGAGCAACTTGTGCCCTGATCACGTACCCAGCAATATGTACCAAGATTCAACCGCCTCTGGGTTCTAGAAAGATATATGACAACCATGGGATCATGTCCCTCAGTTCTCAGCACTGAGGACCGAGCCAGCTGCCCCATTCTCATTTCAGAGACGAGAAGACAATTATACCCCTCTCGAAACAACGTCGAATCCGGCTGGTTCGTCCGGGCCCAAGGTCGGGACAAAGAATTAGAGCCGTCTCACTCAGAGACAAGCAGGACATGGGGTGCTTGCTTTAAACCGAAGGGCTTTAGAGGTACTAAGGGGAGTATTTCTCAGGAAACAAAAAGTGCATCCCTTCTGTTACGTGACCATGACGTTGCCTGGAGCCGAGGCAACCCAGAAAGTCAGACCTAAGTGCTGGACGGAGGACGGGCGCAAGGAGGGTGGTGGCATTAGGCTGCTGCTCCCTGAGCACCCGCTGCCAGGCCACTTCTCAGAGAGTACGGCCTGGGTGAAGAGAGAACAAGGTGTTCGCTATCGCTCTGTGTTTCTCTTAGACCCGTGATTCACAGCAGTCAAAAAAAAAAATCCTTACCCGACAGGCGGTGCACCCTGTGCGGGTCCCCATCACCCAATCCAACTAGGCCGGGTGTGGCTGTCACCACCCACCTGCTCGGGACGGAGGGAGTTCTGTGCTCCTGGGAGGAAAGGGCCGTCAGCAAGGTCCCCCTCCAGTGTTCTCTCCTACACAGAGTGACGCACAGAGTGATCCCTGGGCCAATTCTCCATTCTCCTTGACCAAGAGCCAAGAGTAGGCTGAGTCGAGAGGTAACTGAAGCAAACTTCTTATTGAAGCTGGGAGAGCTGGTACTTTCATTGGTTTTAGGGCTGACCTGATGTCTTCATATCCCAGCACTAGCTACGCACCCCACGGGGCAAGCGGGGAATAAGAACGAGGCAATGGGGGCCCAGAAAGTCTGAAGGGCCATGGAGGCGGGTCACGTTATTGCCCCGTCCTCAGCTTACTTTAGTCACACACACCAAGGCCACTGTGGGGGACTCTAAGAAGTGAATCCCCAGGGTGACGAGCTTTCTCCACGTGGGGAAGCGGCCCCCCACCCCCGACAGGAAAGGGCAGCGGGGCCCAGCGGGAACCCACGGGCTTTGGCACCCTCGGGCTCCTCGACCCGCTTAGTGCAGGGGGATGACTGTGGCTACCTGGGCTGGCTGTGCGCCCCGGAGAGGGCCCAGCGCTGAGTTAACACAATCGGCGCTGCTGGCCGGGGGGTGCGGGGTCTCTACGTTCACAGGCGCACTCAGGGCTTCACACGCGGCGGCACGGCTGCCTCGTGACACTCCCCCGGCCCCACGCCCTGGAGACACGCGCCTCTTCTTGTGAACTCCACAACCAGGCGAACGGTGGGTTTCTTGCGAGCCCCTCGCGGGCCCCGAGGCACATCTCTTAGCCCTGACCAAACGCAGGTTTATAACGTGCCAAGGAGCTACTCACCGGCTCAATTTTCAGGGCGTTGCGGTAACTGCCGAAGAAGGCGGCCTGGGCCTTGAGGAAGGCTCTGGCCACACCGTCGCCCGTGGTCGTGGAGACCTTCTTCAGCCGGTTCTTCAGCGCGGAGATCTGGGGACCGAGAGAAAGGAGGCACAGGTTGAAGGCAGGGTCGGAGGAGGATGGCTGGCCGAGAGCTCTAGAAAATCCCTGGCAGGGGATCGATTTGCTATCTCAGTCACGATGCTTTCGGTATGAGGGCAGGGTTTGGAAATTTAAATGAATGTTGCTTCTATGAGAGCATATTTAACAAAAACAGAAACAAAACCATTTTCTAAGCAGTTACAATGTGTCAGGTAAGTGCTACACGGAAGATGTGAAATTTAATTCTTTCGACAACCCTGCAAGGAAGGGATTAGTGTCCCGATCCCACAAGGGTGAGCCGGCCACAGAGAGGTGAGGCTACGCGCCTCGGGGCGAACCTAAGGAGCGGCCAAGTTGGAACCTGAACTGAAGTCCTGTAATCTGACCCAAAACTACGCAAAGATTTTTAGTTCCACTTCCATTTCCTCTTCAAATTACTTATAAGTATTAAAAATAAATGACTTATTTGTAATGCTTAATGTGTATTATATATCATTAATAAATATACATTATGTAGCTCACACCTACACTCTAGAGGAATAGTAGCGGCTTACAGATAAGCACTCACAGTTAAAAGAAAACAGACAAGAAAGCCATGGCAACAGGAAAAGTAGCCAGGAATAGATTCAGTATATAAAGATAAGCCATAAGGTCTTACACGATGACTAGAAATGAATTGTAAATTTGACTTAAGAGCCTCCTAGTGGTCAAAGCAAAAAGGGATACATGGGTTGTGAGATTCTTTGAGTCCACGAATTACAAATAAACCAGCTGCACAACTGAACACAGATTTTCCTGAAAGCGAGAACCGAATGAGATTTGTCCTGAGTCCTCAGTATAGGAATGACTATGGCACGATGGCTGTCGCCCTCGACATCAGAGACACCAAGCTTTCTGACACGCCCTTCGCTCATCTCGGGATGCCACACTGCACGACTCCTGGGCACACGGTTCACGCCCTGTCCCACGAGAAAGGTGCGCCTGGAACTGCGCATGTGGGGCCTCGAGTTATTCATGTACTCAACGAATATTTATTACCTCTTGAGTGCCCGGGACATGTTAGGTGTTGAGGATACAAGGGTAAACCAAACCAGACATAGGCTCTGCTCTCATTAAGCTCACACTCTAGGGAGGAAATACTGTCACCAATACTGTGACATTGCTACTGTGACAAGCCTGTGATAGAACTCACCAAGGAGGTCACGGAAGGCTTCCTGGAGGCAAACGGGCTTGGACCGAGAGCTGGAGGATGAGCTGAAGGAGCCCCCTCAGCAAAGGGGGAAGGAGCACGGGGACCAGCATCTGCAAAGCCCCTGTGGTGAGGGGAGTTCAGAGAGCAGAAAGGCCTGGAGAGAACGAGGGGACTATGGCTAAAAATGAGCTGAGAGAAAGGGAGGCGTCTGAAGAGCTTGTGAGCGCACTCAGGAATTTTTTCCTTCATCCTGAGAGAAATGTAAAGCTAATGACTGACTTAAGCATGCAGATGACATATCAAGGGCATGTCTCAGGAATCTGTAAGGGGCTTAAAGGACTATCTAGTGGCGTGACGTTATTTAAGGATAACATTTAGGGTAAAAATTTAAGGATAAAATAGAAAATTAAACTCAGGTGGTCTATGAATCATCTACAAATTTTTAATGTGAATGAGTGATGATCAATTTTTTTGACCATAGGCTCCACGGCGTTTCTCAGAATCTGAAAGGTGCCAGAGAACTTAAAAAATACTAAGAATCACTGATCTGGGATGGACTATGTATACTTTATAAATTCTCTATGAATGTTATTTCTTACTACTGAGCTTCTGATAAGGGATTTTTAAATAGCTTATTAGGATACACTTTACATACCATAAAATTCACTCATTTAAAGTATATATAGTTCAGTGGTGCTTTTAGTGACGAGCCTGCACAACTGTCCCTATTGTCTGATCCCAGAACACCTTCATCACTCCCAAAAGAAAACTCACCTTAACTGTTGTCACTTCTCACTCACCGATTCTCCCCCTTCCGCTCACCCCAGGCCTAGGTAACCATTAATCCACTTCCTCTCTCTATGGATCTACCTATCCTGGCAAGTTCATATATAAACACAATCATACGGCATAGGGTCTTTTGTGACTGGCTTCTTTCATTCGGCATCATGCTCATTATGAATAGGTCCCTCCGTGGTGCAGCACTTAGCGATACTTCACTCTCGTAGCCGACCAGCATTCCATGGTAGGGATCTACCACATGAATGTAGTATCACAGTTGATGGGCCATCTGGGTAGTTTCCACTTTTTGGCTACCGTAAATAATGCTGCTATGAGCATTCATGCACAAGCTAAAAGGACGCATGGAACATGGTGCTTAGCACATAGTAGGCCATCAGTAAGTTTACTGAGTAGGAGGGGACAATCTTGCTCTGTTGCCACAGGGCTGCGTGTCTGTCGACTGAGTGAAGGGAGACTGGCATCCTTCTCTGGTAAGTGAGAAGTGATGGGAACACGTGTGGAGGGGTGGCCGCCCCCTCTGTTTGGAGGCAGGCCAAGGAAAACAGTTTTCCTCCGGAAGCAGTTTGGATGCTCTCTCAATACCCAGGTGCAGAGAGCCAGTCTACTGTGATCTCCCCTGGTCTGGGACACACGAGCCCCAGCACCACAGTGGCGGGCGCCCATGAGGAGCACGCAGGCCACGTGGCACCCAGGCAGACTCTGCCGTGGGCTTTCAACTTGAAATAGCAATGAGAGGAAGACATGTGCTTTATTACGTTAAAAATACTGCTGACTCCCCACCCTCCAAGTAAGAAAAATCCTGCCCCTCCCGGGCACTAGGGTGGCATTTCCACCCTCTGAAATGGCGCACGCCACTGTCGCACTTCCTCTGGCTCCTCAAAGGCCTTGGGCCACCTGTGCTGCAGATTACTCCTCGCTTAACCTTCCCTGGCCTTGCCCGTTCATCCGGGAGGTGTTTAATTACCTTGGGTTCACAAGCTGCGCTTCAGGTGAGCCTCTCCTAATGGCCTCATTACCATTTTACACAAAGAGGTAGTCCCGATCTTAACTGAGCAAATACCAGTATGTGCCTTCCTGCCCGCCTAGCTGGTCTGCAACCAGCCAAGTGGTCCTGGGCTCTTGGTGCCCCTGTGACCACTGAGGCCAAGACTTCTGAAGACCTCTCCTCACCCTGCAACACGGAAAAGCTTTTGTCAGCACTTCAAACTTTGAAACTTCAAGTACAGGCGCATCTGATAACTGGCGATGGCATTCTGTCCCTTAAATAAAACGGAGGAAGAAAATCTAAGGCTTAAGTAACCCGCAGTCATACATCTAAAGCTGAACTTGCCCCGAGTACTCCCGAGGGTGCTGGTCAGATCATTAGCATCGGGGCTCATCAGGCATGAGTTGGGGGTGACGGAAACGCCGATGAGGATGGCTTCCTCCTTTAATCGGGTATCATAGGGGGCAGACAGAAAACAAAGGGAAGAGAGTACGGAATTGAATCCCTCAGCTCCTCCGAAGCGCCCGCTCCTCCTCCGGCCCGCCTCCGTTACTGCAGCATCGTCCGAGCAGTCTCACAAGCCAGGTTCGGATGTGGATT